CAAGAGATGTTTGTTTGGTGGTGGAAAACAACTACGAAAAATGAACACACTTCGGAGCCGAAAACATGAGATGTACATGGAAGAGATCAATAAGGTTGCACTATCCGCAGACGATGACAAGCGAATCATTTTACCGGACAAAATACACACATACGCGATAGGACACTACAAAGCGGTCACACAACACTGATAAATCGTGGTAGGTTAAGCCCTTTCATCACCACTTAAGTACATAAAACCACAAAAAGCCGTCACACAACACACTTAAAGACAAATGGCACGCCGTCAAATTATTGTGCATGCACGATGATTTAACGTGAATACCACAAATAGATGATGGGAAAAGTGCAAAAATATAGTGCATGCACGATAATTTGACGTGAATGCTACAAACATACTTAAAGAATCTCTCGAGAGTGATGAATCTCTCGAGAGTGCATGCACGATAATTTAACGATAGAGCATAAAACAGGCCATGAAAGTACTAAATTAACGTACATTCATGATAATTTGACGTAAATTCAGGGAAAATGATCCAGAACCCGCCAAAGGGATACTACTTACAATCTACATAATTAATTATTGTAAAATCTACTAGCATATAAATATTTAGTGTCCAGGTAAGGCTTGATAGTATCCATCTTTTCTTGAATGTTTATGGGAGGTTCTGCCAAATACACCACTTGTCTGATGGGATGAAATCTGACTTGCTTCATCTTGTCACAGTAAATGATTGTGTGGAGTCCTACGCTACTCTTATACACTCCTAATGATTGACATCTGTCATTTACACTCCTAGGATATCCAGATGATCGGTATTCATGGTTTTAAGTGTTTGTCTGGGGCATTGTATTTTGTAATAACACTTGAGAAGTATTAATGTCATCCACACTTTGATGATGTAATACGTCATCCAATACTTGCTAAGGAAATGGGAGTAAAGCCGGCTGTAGACTCTATAGGAATATTTTCCTCGATACGATCTCATGAATAACATCAGGTGAAAGACTCTTTGATTTAAGGGAAATCTGGTCGGTCTCACTACATAGGTGAACAAGGTCACTTCGCTACCATTAGGCACCCATTGGTAAGGCACACGAGTATATTTTGTTGCGTAGATGAAATTCTCTACTCTCTGACATAAGAAGGAGATCACCGAGTAATGCAGGTACAGTAGATCTGCCCACAGAGACATGGTTTTACCCCCGTTGCCGTTTACACACAAATGACAGAGACTTGGTTTACATCACACACTTTTATTTACTTATTCCTCACATACTCAAACATGTCTGGATCGTGTTTAAGCTGTTCGTACAATTCTAGATCGTATCTAATACTTTCCAATTCGTCCTAGCTGACATTTAATCGATACGACACTTTCTTAAACTTTTCAAATCCGATCAACTTGGCTATTTCAAAAATGTCTTCTCCAGTCAGTTCTTCCAGCTTAGTGGCATTTCCCATGGAGCGAGCTATTTGCAGTCCTTCTTGTAAATCTACGAAATAAATTCATTTTCTATTACTTCTAAGCCATACAACACGCCTTCGTGTAATAGTTTTATCAAAACTTACATAATCTTACACAATCGTGTAACGTGTAATCTTACACAATCGTGTAACTTGTAAGATTCATAAGGTTCATTTAGAAGTATGCTTAGCAGGAAAAAAGGAAAAAAGTGTAATACTCACTTTGCGAATGCGGGCTTCTATGGCTCCGGGTTGTAGTAATAGTCCAAGCTCGGTGATGGCTTGTTGTCTTAACATCTCTCTGTGTTCGTCATCGGTAACGTCAAACTCGTTGGGGGTATCATTTACATCGTCTATCGGGAGGATGGCTTGACAGTGATGGTTGATAAATTCATCTGGGTAAGGTGCGCGGCAGAGACCGCAGGAATTTGAGGTCTGGACGTGATTGTGAATACATCGACGATGTACCCAATTCTGACAGCATGGAGTGGCTGTAGCTGCAAACATATTCACACATATTTGTAGCATACAGACGAAGCAGTTGACAGGATTCCCATCACGCTGTGGTGAATCGTTCTGTAAACGATTGGAGCGTCTGGGGGTGTTCATGTCCTGTGAATAAAAAACAGTGTGTAACTACACGGTTCAAAATTAAAAAATAAATGACTGCAAAAGAATGACTTACGCAAAGTAGCCAAGATCAAGTAAATCACACAGAGAGAGAAGAATTTTTTTTGATGTAACTCCAAGTAGCTATAAGCATGGAATGAAGTGTAAAAGGAAAGGTAACTGTTTTCGTTACTGCAAGATGAGTGACAGGTGTCACAACTGTGATGTAATGACACTAAGTTCGCTAACTGTCAATCACCCAAACGACGCCGTACAAATCTGTCAATCACCCAAACGACGCCATACAAATCTGTCAATCATCCGAACGACGCCATAAAATTATTTGTCGAGGTCATCTACCTGGGATGTGAGGTTGGCACTTCCTGTGGTTTTAAATCCCAAATCTAATTCCACAAAACTTCTATCCCAATCGATAAACTCGGTCTGTTTAGGCACATAGATCTCAATGGGTGTAATGCTGGAGGTCTGTGGTGAAACTTTCATAAAACGCGATTTTACCGTAGATAGGTCTACAGGTGGAATGCGAAACAAATTCAAACTCGGTTTCTGTTCTGCGCCTTTAATGGACATGTTGATGCTTCAATGTCTCCTGCGTTTCTGAACTCTGCGGCGTCTCTGCAATTTCTTTATACGTACAAATCCTCCTCGTTGTTTCCTTCTTTTATAGCGTTTTAAAATAGTGGTCACTACATCGCCAGGGGTGGAAGTTCCCACGCCTATATGCCCACTCCCTTCTCTGGCTTCTCCCCAATAGACCATTTTTAATCGTCAAAAATATCGTTGAGTTTCCTTGCTACTCTTCTCTGTACTTCGTGCTTGACGGCTCTTTTGACTCCTCTCTTCACCCCTCTAGGAAATTCTGACGAAGATCGTTGCGTGAACGTTCTTTTAAGGCCTCTCCCCGTTCCTTTCGCTACATCTTTAACCATGTCTTTAATGCCTGCCCCTACTTGCGTACCTCAATTTCCCAAGAAAGGTGGAGGGTAGGATGGCCATCGATGCAACGAACCCCCTTTCTGATCTCCGGGAACGTAGACTTGAAACCTCTGTAACGATCTGCCTCTCATGATGTCGCCAATGACTTTAAACCTTTTTTTGTAAATCCAACTGTTATATTTACTTGGGTAACCTTTCCACTTGACAAATAATTTATCTTTGGCCCGTTTCAAGACTTTTTCTACTCGAAAAAATGTCGCAGTGTCCACATGTACTTTTTGTAAATCCCATGAATAAAAACTTCCGATCAAGGGCGTTTCATCTAATTCCCTCACTTTATACGTCGTCACTTTACCAGGTACCACTTTACGAATTTCAAAGACTTCCTTTGTCCACCCCGGCAAATAACTCTTTTTAAATGGTCGAAATTTCTTATTCAATCTTACTTTATCTCCCACTTTAAATACCAGTGTCTTGTCTGTCTTTAACGAACCGTATAACGATTCCTACACTTGTGGTAAATTCTTTTCAGAGACTTTGCTGGGTGCTGTGCCTATGCTGCGATGGTACGATCGATTATATTGGGAGAGTAATTGAGTTAACACATTGGTAAATTTTAGCGTATTGGCTGCCGTAAAATAACGATACAGTTTGGTTTTTAAGGTTCGAATAAATCGTTCGGCAATACTGGCTTTCGCATCTCCGTGCGTGGAAAAATGATGAATGCCTTGCGATGTCAACCATTCTTGAAAGGTCTTGTTATAAAATTCTTTACCGGCGTCGGTTTGTAATTTCTGGGGTTTCCTTCCCTCTGTCACAATTTTCTGAAATGCTTCCATCACTTCTTTTCCCGTTTTCTTTTTAAGGGGTACGGCCCACGCATATTTGGACAATGCATCGACTACCACTAAAATGTAACGATTCCCTTTATTCTCTTTGGCAATGGTCTGTACTTCGATCAAATCGGCCACCCATTGCTGATCGATATCAAAGACTATGACGGGAGCAAATTCCCCACGGCGACGACGCGGTTTGTGAAGGGTATAGGCTAAATTCTTTTCCAATTCTTTTTGGGCTTGGGTATGGGAAATCTTTCGAGCTTTGGCATAGGATGAACTCCACCTTAACTCCCTACATGTTTGGGAGATTCGTAATCAGACATGACCTTCCCTCATATGAATCACTTTCACGCATGTCATGGATTAAAAACATTTTTTATTTTAGATATAGCCGAAGAGTTGTGTAGAAGCGGATTTTCTGGTATTCTAATTTCATTTTATAGTGTTCCATTAGTTCAATAAACCACCATTCAGTTTCAGTACATGTCTTTATTGTGTCTTTGTCTCCTATTTGTACAGTAAATATTGTACCACTCTTTGGAATACTTTACTTCTGTCCACGCTTCGACTTCACCCCATCAGTATACTGGTTTTCTGACCCGAATCTTGCCATGTCTCATAGACTTTTATGACATCTTCAAACGTAAAACATCGATCCTGTAGTTTCTTGCTCACTTTTACAAATTCGTGCCAATGCGTAAATAAATACATTTGCATGTAGGCTCCTTGGGGGATACCTAACCCTCTTAGTTTTTCAGTCACCGCATGGTCTATGAGTTCACACCACTCCTTAAACTCAAACATTTCCAATTTACTTCGACGCGGGGGAATAAACGGTTCGTCTTGTTTTAAAATCTCGCGTACGAGTACCAAAAATACCCACACATCTCTATAATCGGCCACGCGGGAAATAAGGCGATGACGACTTTCTAACGTGGGAGTACTTTAAAATCCTAAGATGGCATGCAGCAAGACGATAGCGCGGCCCGATTTATTACAAGCACGGGTATCGCATTTATAAATTTCGTGTGGGCAAAGATAGGATTGATAATAGACTTCTTGGGGGTACGAATCGGAAAGGTCTTTACAACACGCCATCCTCCCATAAAATGACATCACTTGTACTTTCAAAACCATTTATTGAAGTGACAATGTACGAAATTCACATTTTCGTATACATGAAATGTACAACGTATACATGAAAATATCACGTTGTAAAACAGTGAAATCCTAGAAACGTTACAAAGTATAAATGCAATCTGTTCATACCGACTGTTCGTGTTAATTTTTATTTTTGTCCTCGCAACCCTCGAGGCGCTTCATTTTTTGCGTAATTTTTTCCTCCACAATATGACGCAGGACTTTTTGGAGGGCCTTTATGGCTTCCTTCTTTTTCTCGACGTAGACTTCGTCTTGATCCACTTCGGGCATAGACTCCTCGAAGTAATCATTTTCGATGGTTTCCAACATCTTTTTCTCGTCCATGTCGTCCTCCCTCTTGAGGATGTCTAACAAAGTATCTACCAGGGTAACCACTCGTTCTGGTTCCAATTTGAGAACGTACTGGCGGTTAGAACTTGCCATTGCATTGTTGACTTGAGGAGACTTGAGACTTCTGACTTGAGGAGAAAGAGGACGCCTCGTGGTTTGACTGTCTCTGATATATACACTTCTAACCAATCATAGCGACTTACACGATCTATCCAATCATAGTTCGACATACACCTCTAGAACGTGATACCTCTTTGTTCCTGTAAAACTACTTTCACCAGTCTTTGATGAACCGCTGCGATTCCAGTGATTTATTAACCCACTGAGGGGAATATTTTTCAGAGGTCAAAGTCACCAATTCACTCATGACATCGGGATGGCTTAACATGGGATTACGGAACGTGGTCCAGACTTCTGTCACATCGTCGATATAAAAATTATTTTTCCTTAACCGTTCGCCCAATTGCT